TAAATAGAGTTTTATTGGGAACTTTGGGTCGATAGGCAACTGCCTAGTATTGCCTAATGGTAAATCCCCCCCTGCTTATATGTGAGCAGTTTTCTTAAACACCATCATCTATGGTTTAACCAAACTAAGTAGAGTTTAATAATAAAGGAGTTTGGGAATCTCCTGGTACAGCTTAGAGTAAAACATCCTAAACTGTGAGAATAAAACGCAAAATGTTTCAGTATCACCAAAGGACACTTTTCAGCGACAGTGGAATTCATTTCACGGTCTTCCAGAACCCACTGATGGTGTTTCTCTGCAAACAGCTCCTCTGAGATATATGGTCACGCTCCACACCCACTAAAAGCCAGCCTGCTGTTAGTTTAGGTGGAGCTTACAAGCTAGAAAAGAGAGCAGTCCATCTATTACTGTCTTCTGTTTGTTTGAGATCAGGTCACAGAGGTAACAGGTCCATGAAGGAACCCCAGACATTGTTCTCCAAGGCGCTCCCAGGCCAGGTAGGGTCTATAGTGCAGCCTCAGCTCTTTTCTGGGCTTTCATTGAAGTCCAACAAGCATGAAAAACCACCGCAGGAGGCCTCCTGATTGGTGCTGCAATTACCTTGACCAACGACTGTCAACGCGAAGAAGCATTCGATCCACTTCAGGAGCTACATGATGACCTAAGATCACACCAAGAGCTTTGCCTTTCAACTAAGCCCCTTCCTCACCAGAACAAACAAAAGAAACGTCCATGTTTCTGCAGAGAAAGTCCCAATCTGTTTGTCCACCGCATGTTTTATCCTAACTCAGTCATTTTTAAAAAGCTAAAAACACAAACCATCCTGGCTCTTTCTAAAAATTCAATCGCACCAACTTCCATTTCTTGAATGACAAACAAACAGCGATTAGAGATTGATTGTGACTCGTGCTACATCTATGAAATCAAGCAATCACTTCAACAGCGCCCATCTGATAACCAAAGTAGTGTAAAAGATCCCAAAGACAACATCTGAAAATCTTAATCCCAAGTGTCTGGATTACATTTTGGTCAACCACCGAAGGACTCCCCCCTTAGAAGAAGGTCTTGAAGTGGCCAAGTCAGTCTTGTGTTAAATTAATTACATCAAGGTGTCGTTATACAACCTTGATCAGGCTGTTAAAGCAGGAAAAAAAACGTCCAATGTTGCTGGTTTAAAATTTCACTAAAGGAGAGTATATCAGTCTGTTGCTTCTCTTACTAGATTTTTGTCACAAAGAAAAATCAGGAACTAACCTTACGATGGTGTTAATATACATTCTCAGTGCCATTATGTGTCACGTTTTATAAAACATCAGAAAGTTAAACTCACCTTGTGGTCAAACTGCTCCTCAATGATTGAGGATCTCTCCAATGAGGGGAAATATTCTGAAAAAGAAATGTAATGTTAAATATTTCTAATCAGTTTATTTCTATAGCGCCAATTCACGACACATGTCATCTCGAGGCACTTTACAGTTCATCAGATCATCCAGTGAAATTGATTCAAAGTTTTCTATCCTAAAAAAACAGTTGATTGCATCGACTCATTGACTGGAAAACAATCCCTCACACTAAGCATGCTTGTAGCGACAGAGGAGAGGAAAATCAGAATGGAACGGTTAAAGTATCGACTGCTGAATCGCTTTAAACTACTCATCGTTATTTGTTTATGAAGCAAAGAGACAGCATTGTTAGAAGAGGTTTTTACAGTTATGAACAAACACAAATCTGCTCACCTGTGTGTGGAAGTCTGCAGAAGGTGAGGATCTGGATCTCTCATGGATACAGAGAGACTTCTCCTCTACGCCAGGGTCTAGAATGTTCTCTGCTGAGTGATATCGCCCCTGTGCTTTGGCTTCAGATGACTTTTTCTTTTCGTTCCAGGTGGCCTGGTACTCAGCGAAGGTACCCAGTCTCTGAAGTTCCAGTAAAATCTGCTTATGTCTGGGACTCTGCTTGCTAGGGTCTGTGCAGGGTTGAGAATGGTCACTTTCTCCAGAGGGAAGGGTCTCCTGTGATTTGTTTGATTCGCCTTGGTTCAGGTTCGAGTCTGTGCCATGACTTGACTGCAGCATTGGCCTGGGGAATGCAGGTTTGGTCTCCGAGAACTTTTTCTGTTGCTCTGGGCCATGTTGGGATTCTCCATCCACCCCCACTTTGTCTATCTTATCAGGCTCTGAGAATGAATGGGTCCTCTTTGCTGGGTGGAATCGTCTACGTCCTCTGATTCGCCCATAGGATGCTCTAATAACTGGCGCCTCTGGCCCCAGGGGCTCAAGGTCTCGTCTCTGGAAAGAGGTGGCCTGAAGGACTCTTGCCTGGGCCTCTTTCAGATGGTCCTTATAGGTATTTGAGGATGCAGAGGCCTCCATGGACCTCCACTCTTCTGCATCTTCCTCATCCTCAGCCTCACATGTAAGGGTTGCAGCACTACAGCTCTTCTGTAGCTGGGCTCTCTTCTCCTGGATCTCCTTTCGAAGGGTGGTGGCATAGCGGTCACTGCGGCGGCCTGCTTTCCCACTGCCGGTGGTTATGGCTTCACAGGCATCCTGGGTGGGAATCATAGACTTGGTAGCAGCTGTTGATTGCCTCTCTGTCAAACTCTGACTCTCCTGTGCCAAGAAGTGGAGAAGTGGAGTTTTTAGAGCTGATATCCTGTGATCTTCTTGAGGCACCCAAGGGTCTTGAAGTCTCGAAGGACCAACTTTATGATCATTACTCTGATGTGTTAGAAAAGCTCTTTTCATTTCATTAGGGGGCCCTTCAGCTCTCTTTGACTGTTCTTTTGGGCTTTGAAGAGAAAGTTTGTGAGTCTTGTGGTCATAGTTTTGACCATTCCCATTTCTGTCTTTATTTTCCATGCAAGGCATCTGGGACTGGGGCATTGGATATTTTGCCATAATGTTTGCCTTCAGAGAGTTCTGCAAGCAGGATTCAATGCTGCTCATCCATTCACTCTCCCCTCTCCATCCCCCAGCTTTGCTCTGCCTGGCCTTTACCTCACCAATTTGCATTGGATAGTTACTTGCAGGGCCGAAATGTCGGTTTTGCCCTCCACTCTCCAGACTTGAGTTTGCAGTACAACCTGCCATAGCCGCTGTGGAGTGCCGGATGTGCATTCTACTGAAAGCATTTGTGGGCAGATCTTGGAGGCTGCGATAGTAACTCCCAACACTTTGGGTCTTTGCTGGTGGAGTTTTCCTGGTTTGTAGGTAGAAAGGGCTTTCATCGCTGTACTGTCTCTGATGGGCAGGTGATTGGGCATGATGAGACTGCCTGACATCGCTGCTGGATAAGGAGAAGAGTTTGTTGGGGTGCAGTTGGTTCTGAAATCTGAGGCAGTTCTGGTTGTTTTCAGTCAATTTTTCGATAGAGCTGCCATGATTCTTTGACGGACCCAAGGGCCCTTCAGAGTATGGGAACACTTTGGTTGCCGCAAAGCTGTCACTGCGCAGCGGCAGCGGTGGAGGAGGAGGGGACTGGGATTTTTTCTTCTCTGGTGCCTGCCACACTAGGCCACCATTGAGCCTTCCTGCAACTGAAACCCGAGACGCTGGCTGCTCCTCGACCCGTGAACCCTCCCAGCCTCCGTTCCCGGGACTTGACTGCGGGTATCTGTGTCGTTCATTCTGCTGAGGTCCTTCACTCTGAAGGCCTTTGAAGAAGATGTTTTCAGTGCTGGTACCTTTCCTGCTTGACTCCAGAACAGGAGGGCTGGAGCTGCCAGAGAAACAGCTGAAGGCAGAGTCTCTTTTGGCTCCTGATGCAGAAAATGTTTCAGAGGTGTCGACGTATTTCGTTGGAGGATGACAACCTGGTGGTAAAGGATGAGAAGGACGCTCCAGTCTCTCCATGCTGGTCACTGAGCTGAGCTGATTGGTCTGCTGAGTATTCTGGTCTCCTGGTGTGGTTGACTCTTCTGGCCTATGATAAAGAAAAAAAAAATGGGGCAAATGTGGGAAAGCAGAAAGTTTACCCCAAAATAAATGAAAATACCCTGCTTCATGTTTTGGCTGCCAGACAGACACTGGGGTGGCCTGAGTCCCGGCAGGCTCAGACTCCTCTTCTGTCAGCTTGGAGGAGTGCCAGGAATGGGGCCGTAAGCCTGGATCATTTTTCCTGCAGCAGAAAGAGCCAACAGAACACTTTACACAATGAGGGAGCGTTTGACATCCTAACTGCTTTCAGATTTTCACGGAAAGATAAATGCCAGAAGTTTGCAGAGTTCAGTAGTTCAACATTCTTCCTCTAAAAGACTCCTGTTCACTTCTAGATCCGGTGTTGCCCCAAGCACTTAAGATAAAGTAACGATCCAATAGAACCAAAGCATCTTAACGGAAAGGCAGATGTTTTTCTTTTCTGAACATGAGAAAATGAGTGAAAATGTAATAATTCTGGGTGATAAAGGCTCAATTAAGGTAACTTCAATCCTCGACTGTCACCGTTCTGCAAATTTGGCATACTGCAACACATCTGCATCGAATGCCTTTTGGTTGAGTTACGGTGCAGACAGTGAGTCCCAGATTCCTGATTTTAAAGTAAAGATCAGATCAACCTCATCCCATATGTAGAATTAATTAACCCTTATAGGGTACTAAGTGAAATACTTTAAATACAAAAAATTCCAGCCAATAGTGTTATTAAAATCTAGGACAAGACCTTATTGCCTTTGTAAAATTAAAAAATATGGACATTTTGATGGCAAAAATTAATGTCGATGTAAGAAGAAACGCCAACTTGCTTGAATATATTAAGAAAAATGACAAACTGCTTCTGTAAGAAATTCATGAAAGACACAGAGAGTGAAAAAAAACAAATTTTTTGTTACAACATAACCTTACAGGCATTAATGCTAATACTGGCATTTACATTTTTAAGTTTATAAACCTACTGTAAATATAACTGTTAACTAGGCTTATTAACTTTTGTGGTCGGTTCTCTTATTTCATATAATAAATTATACTATTTACACACTATAAAAGTTTTGCACTCAGTAAGTTTCACCTGCAGGATAACACAATGCCTGAGTGAGGGTGTTTGTAGACAAGACATACTTCTTCCCATTGCAAACCAGATTCTTTCTCAAGGTTTATTCATAACATGTTACTGTTTAACCAAAGTTTAACCAAAGATAACCAATTTGTTTGGACTTTGACTACTTTCCATTATTGTAAGTAAAGGGGAACGAACGCTGCTCATGCAGAACAGGAATGATTACCGTGCAATAATGGCCGTATGATGAACTGTTCTCTCTTTGCAAAGATATAAAATAAAGTGGCGACTGAGTGAAATTCATTGATCTCCATTCATTTAACTGGAGAAAATAGTTGAACCATTTTCCCACAACACTTTACTTTTTAACTTTTCAGTGAGCTTTTTACCCTTTTTTCTTGACTTAACTTTTTTTCAACTTAATTTTCAGAAGGTATTATATCATTCAAGGGCTCATCTAATTGGTCAAATGCGATATGCAAACATTCAATATGAAAACTAATAATATTACAGTAATTTAGAGAAGATTTTACAATAATTCAGCTTAAGAAAAGTTATTACATTAGAGACAAGTGCGGTCGTGTCCCTCGGATACTTTTTCACTGGGATTTTCTGGAGAAAACAAGTCAATTTTCTCATTATCTAAAAATAACGAGAGCCGTTTTCTCTTCAAAATGAGAATTTAGGAGGTAAGTGAGACACTTTGCCAATGGAACAAGACAATTTACATTTAAAATAAGAAAAAAACGATTGAATTTTTTTTTTCAAGTGCATTTTATGTAATTATCATGTTTTAATAGTAGAAATACTCATTCGATTGGCAAAATCATCATCATTACCTACTCAAATTACTGGTAAATACACTTAATTTAAGACAATTTTACTTATTTCTAGATTGTTTTTGCAGCGTAAAAAGGTTCAAAGTTTTTCTGGCCACTAGATCTTTGTTTTATTCCCATCTATAAAGAAAGCCTCATTGATTTAATTGCTTTATTATTTACGCAATGTCCCTGAAAATACAAGAAAATGAAACATTTTTTTTTTATTCAACAAAGATTTTAGGAATTAAAAAATATTTTTATTGTATTATTTGAACTTTTATCCATATCTAAACAGAGGAATGGCTTTTCTCACGCCACAGTCAACGTACCCCCTGAAGCGGCTCTTCCTGGACAGCATGTTGAAGAAAAACAGATTGGTGCACAGGTTAGGTTATTTTATTAATTCTTCATAATACAAAAAGAAAATAGAAACTAAAAAAAAAAAAATAGATAAAAAATAAAACTGAACAAAGATTTTTAAACAGTGAAACGAACTGGAAAATCTGAAACTACGGTCAAACAGACATTCACATCACAGGCACTTTATGCAATCAATGGATATGTGATTAAAACGACTAGATAAACTAAATCAAAACACATAAAACACAAACTGGAGCAGACAAGCTAGCAGGAAGCAGCTCGGTGCTGCAGCTCTGCACATTGGTACCTCATGGAACTTCGTAAAATCTTGGTGAGGAAACTCCTCGCAACATGAACCTCATTTTCTGACGGCATTGCTGGTGTGGAAACAACGTCCACCATTTTAGCCCTGAAGGGCAGCGGTCAGAAGGCGGAGAGAGAGAGAGAGAGAGAGGAGGAAGACATGTTGGGACGAACACTTCAACATGTATGTTTAAAATAAGGACGATTAAATGTACAAACAGCGTTAGACCATTAGAAGCAAATCCTTCAAGCTGTTATTTGACTTTCAGGTTTATTGTCCGGAGGGGAAAACTTCTGGGTTAAATCAATAGAAACTGGTTTATTTCAGGTTTCCAGTGCAAAGAAATATCATCTAGATGAGTCATTTTTTTCCTGTAATAAGTTTGTTTTTTCTTGAATTGAGAAGGTGTGACATTTTACCAATGGAACAAGACAAATTACATTTAAAATAAGAACAAAAGAAAATTAATTGTCTTATTTCAAGTGTATAATATCTAATTATCTTATTCTAAGAGTAAAAATCCTCATTTCATTGGCAAACTATCTCCTTTACCTACTCAAATTAAGGGTGAATACACTTAATTTAAGACATTTTTTACTTATTTCTAGATCGTTTTTTCCAGTGTGGGTAAAATAAATTATTTACACTGCCAAAATGATCTAGAAATAAGTAAAGATTTCTTATTTTAAGGGTACTAACCCTTAATTTGAGTAGGTAAATAAGATGATTTGCCAATTAAATTAGTATTTTTACTCTTAAAAGTGAATCCAGTAGAACTTTTTATTGCCTACCTGGAATGGGTGACAATAGTTGAAGAAACTTTGGCTCTCAAAATTGTATCGGTACCCTATTGGTTGGTACTCGCTGATACTGATACCACCATTTTAGAGCTGGATTGGGGCCCCGCCCAATAATGGCATCGGTATCGGTGCAACACTACTTGAAATATTGCAATTTGTTTTTCTTATTTTTAATGTAAATTGTCTTGTTCCATTGGCAAAGTGTCTCATTTACCTCCTTAATTCAAGAAAAATGCACTTATTTTAAGAAAAATGACCTATATAGATTTAGTTTTATAGAGTGTACAACAGAGAACCAACTTGGCTCCACTATCCAGAAACAAAAATACTTTTTTAACTATTTAGCTATAAGTATTTCATCAGTAATTTAAGATTCACAGAGGGCATCAAATTGTTTCTTAATAAATAAAAACAGCCTGTTTGATATTTTTCCCTCCGATTCCCTAAAATTATTAAAAATAAACCCTCTTATGGCAAGTGTCTCACTTACCTCCTCAATTCAACAAAAAATGCATTTAATTTAAGAAATAATGACTTATTTAGATTTCAGGTTTTTGCTGTGTAAATGTGCTTCCAACATGTTTTATATCAACATCTCACTCTTAAAATTAGATTTGATCTGGATATTCACAAGTTTACCTCAATGTTGCAACATCTATTTTAATATCTTATTAACTCAGAGGCAGGTTCCCAAAAACTAATAGTAGCATTACTTCAAAAATATTTTTTACCCAAGTAAATTTAAAGGAATAGTACCCAAAACATGATTAGCCTTCATTTTCTACTCACCCCCATGCTGAAC